TCGCCACTTGGCTTTCTCAAGCCTGCCAGCCACTGCGAATAAGGTGCACTGCAGTAGGCAAAACGTGTCCTAACCAAAGGAGCCTATTGATCTGAATTCGATGCGATAGCGAGTTCTTGTTTGATGTATTCCCAAACACTTGACGACTTACCTCTAAGTTACTAACCCGCTCACTCCATCCCACTTGGGCCACACTACGTAACCATCGATTGTCGAACACTGCTAAACGACGGGTGTCTTCTACCCGCAAATTCAAGGTCTCACAACCGTAGAAGCAGAACTGATCGTACAGTGGCGCGGTATACGCAACTTTTCAACTTCAGTGAAACGTCACGTCTACGCCAAAGGTGTCTTAGTCCTGCGTACGCTGCTCGAGCCTTGGAAATACCGGCTGTTATCTCCTTCGATGCGCTACCGTCGTTAGTCACGCAGCTACCTAAGTACGAAAAGCAATCAACTTCAGCCAACTCCTGACCATCTAGTTTCAGAACAGAATTGGGCGACACCCAGTCTTGCAACGACACTGCACTTTGAAGGTGCAAAGCGCATGCCGAACGGAGCGACAGAACTTGATAATCTGTCAAGTGCTCTTTGTGCATCCTCCACACATTCGAACAAGCAAACAATGTCGTCAGCGTACTCCAAATCGCACAGCTTTTCTCCAGCTGCCCATTGAATACCTACATTTTGGAGACCACTCAATGTGTTCTCCAGTATTTCGTCTATGACGAAATTGAACGGGAATGGCGAAATGGGGCATCCTTGACGAACACCGCTGCTAGTTACGAACGACCTACTCAGCTGGCCGTAGACCATTACGCTACCAGAAGTATGAGTCGAGTGAAATCCGTGGCATTCCTTCGCGAAGGAGTGAACCCATAAGGGATTCTCGATCAACTGAGTCGAAGGCTCCTTTTACGTCAAGGAACACGACAACCGTCGGTACACGGTGCGTATGGCGTAGCTCGAGGACTTGGCACAGAGTGAAGATTTGATCGATACAACTGCAACCTGGTCGAAATCCTGCTTGTTGTTCGCGGATGTTTGTCTCCCTACACGGTGTCAGACGTCTAAGTATAATGGAGGCTAGTAAATTGGTAACGATTGGGATCAAACTTATTCCGCGGTGTTTTGCGTAGTCGTTGCGAGGTCCCTTCTTAAAAATTGGAACAATCAGTGATTCGCTCCACGACGATTGAATACGCTCGTGTGACCAGATGTTACGCATTATATCATTCCTAGAGTTTACGAGGTCATCGCTCCTCATCGTGAAAAGAGTGGAGGAAGCCTATCCGGTCTTGCTGCTTTTGCTTTCTTCAAGGCTTGGATGCAAGATTGAACTTTTGCTGCAGTAGGACACCGCCTACGAAGCCTCAGCTACAGTAGAGGAGGATTTGCACTCCATAACTGAGCACTGGAAAAGGTGTACGGTGAAACACAAAAAAAATTCTGTTATCTTGTATTTTCCATGTTTAACTGTCTCACTCACTTTTCCCCATGTTCTGTATCCTAATCCACCTATCCCCTTCACTGTCATTGTTGCGTTGGCACCATGCTTGTTTTCAAGCCGGTGGTAAATATATATATATATATACTGAAACCTACTCCGAACGTGAAGGTCCTCAATTTGTTCTACACATTCCTCACAAATTATTACAATAAACTGGCATAATTAGGACACTAGTGACTTTCTAGGCTAATTGGTCCACAAATGTACAATAATCGATCAGATAAAGTAAGTATTATCATTATTTGTTATTAAACTTGCTGGAACCATGTCCAATGGACTACCCCATTGTATTCACTGTCGATTTCTACGGAACTAGTCAAATCATGAAACAACGTCCAGCTGGACAGAGGTCTAGTCACGGTATTCTTTGCAAAAGCAATGGTAGATCCCTCGTGGGAGGGAGGAATCAGTCGTTGTCCACATTTCAGGAGGGGCTTGCGCAAAGACTGCGCCAACCGCAGGCGTGTAAGCTTAATCCCGACAGCGCCAAAGATTTCAGCTTCCGACATTTTTCGTATATTGTAAGGGATGTGGGAAGAGCGAACCCGTGAGGATCAGGGTGAGTTTTGCACCGATTAAAATATAGCATCGATCAAACCTCAGTCCGACAGTTGCTGGGAGCACCATCATACTTCGCAGATATCAACTTTCTTAGGCCCCCGCGCGGCCTGCGATTCCAACGATTGGACTGCACTATGAAACTGTTTGTTGAGAAGTGAAGTATCTGAAAAATATGCGCCTATCCTCAGAGTTGTATCGGCATACTCCTTTCCGGTCAGGTTAGGGTCTGTGATCAGCTTTCGCCATCCTTTGTAGTCTCCAATAGAGTGCAACAAAGCTGTCCAATATCAACACGCTTTTTCAAATCGAAGAGCAGTAATAGTGCTTTCGATGAAAAGAATTTCAGTGACTGGAGGATAGTAGTAGTAGTAGTAGTAGTAGTAGTAGTAGTAGTGCTGGGGCTAGTTTGGCTTGTTAGTTTAAGATAAACCCAATATGAACTCGTGTCCTGCAATAAAACGAACACTGTGGCACATCACCAATCAAATAAAAGTACACATCTTACTCCAGTGTACTCTGAAAACAATTAATATCATCCAAAAATGGTGAGATACGTAACTGGCTGGTAAGAAATTGATCATCGGATTTGGCGAACAAAAGTGAGAAAGCTGGCAGAACAGAATTGGAGGTCAACAAACAGAAATAAACAGCAATTTTTGGAGACAAATTGAACAATTGAACAAAGTAAAAAAAAACGGAGTTCGTTTAAATTATTAATCAGAGCAACGCAGTGATCCACCTTACCAATGGCTTACGTAACCAAGGGAGCTGATACACAGTAGAAAATAAGCACGAGGTATCTGATAAAAATGACGTTTGCACTGTTCCATGACAACCACACGAAGCGAAAAAACAATCTCGAAATATACTGATCCAAACTAGCAAGTCCTCAGCCTTAAGGGAATCAGTGTGTCGTTCTACAACGGCCAGCCCAGTTCAGTATTGGTTAGCTGTGTGAACTGCACTCACCCGACTGCCTCTAGAACATCTCAGCGGTGGCAAGTAGCACCAACTAGTGGACTGAGCATAAAAAACGTGTGCTTCACATACGTTGAAATGCGTAACCTATTAAGATTCAAGATAACGTCGAGGAAAGAAATCAAAAACATCTGGATTGAACATACGGAGCTGGATCCGGCGGTCTCCGCCTCGAGCATTCCTTCGGCAAGAAACTGTTTGGGAATTTCGGATTCCGGTAAAAATGGTGTTTCGACTCGACCACCATCCAATTGGAGCACGTTTCGCTTCAAATCAATGCAACACTGATGACGTTTTAGCATATCCAGACCAAGCATTAGATCCAAATGCTGATCTTGAAGCACGATGAATGAAGTCTGCAATCGGGAATGAGAAAACCAAAAAGAGTAAATCGATATAAGCATTCAATAACTGGATCTCTTGGGAGTTGGCTTCGTGAACTCGAAATGTGTGAAAACGGAGAAGCCAGTAAAGGAAACCAATGGAACAACTTATATGTACAATCAGATCGTTTGTAATGCCGACGTAATTCCGCTTGCACCTTTTTGGGCGTCAATATACAACAAACCGCAACAATCGCATNNAATCGCATTTTCAATGCACGCAGAGACTGGCGGTATAGTAGCGAACAAACAACCGGACACGTGAAAAACACCACTGACTCCCCCGTCTGTTTCGCTGCCACCTTTAAAATACTTAGTATTTGATTTCAATGTCCACAGACGACTTAAACGTCATTAGCCGTAAACTAAAAAAAGAAAATTGGGTCTCGTCAAACGTAAAATACTTGCATCAGTTCAGTTCAGTTCAGTTTTACAACCTTTAACCATGTATTTTCGTACACCGGTTTTGGTTGTTATCTTTTGGCAGCCAATTTGGATAAAATAGCAGAATGAAGATTGGAATGTTGAAAGCAAATTCAAGCGGAGGATGGAGGATTCATATAGAATAGTGATAGGGGACTAATGAGTGGATGCATGAGCGCCACCGTTTGCGACACCCAGCCATATCACTTAGTGACTCTAATCATCGGTGATCATCACCCCGAGGTCCCCAGCCAGGGAGCCTAACGGGGCCTATGTGACCTAGTCTCCTGGTTAGGGCTTCATATCCTCATGCCAGGTCTTAGTTTGACCACCCTTGATCTTTTTCCAACCGCTACCAGCCTTGGCAAACATCGCTCGCTGCGGCAACCTATCTGGTGACATGCGTAACACATGTCCCAACCAACGTAATCTATGCAGGTCGGTCACTTGCTCCAGTGGACGACCGCGAATGCCTAAAACTCTACGCCTAACCTCAGCATTGCTCATCCGGTTACCCCACCAGACTCGTGCAATGCGACGTAGACAGCGGTGTTCGAACACCGATAATCTATTTCGTTCCTGTTCCCGTAAAGGCCAATTCTCTGCACCATAGAGCAGGACTGACCGAACTGCTGCAGCATACACATACTTGCATCAAGCGAAAGTTGAACAAAAAAGGGATTTCCAGCGCTGATACTCACTTTTACATGAGATCCTACGTCAGGCATCACTTGAACGTGTGTTAACCATAAGGATTCACTCTCTTTTCCCCTCTCTCAAAACTAGTTATTTACTTTACACACTTACTCTGACCTTGAGCATGTTATGAGGGTGACGGTGATCGAGAACGCAAACTTACCCGTATCTCACTTCACGATAATAACCATGATTATGATCATGAGGCTTGCTTGGTGCACCGATGCTGAGGCAACCGCTTAGCAAAACCGGGTTTTTCATTCTATAAACCCCCGGCTATAGTGTTATAGAACAAGCCAAAACACGTTGATGGGAAAAAACAACTACGTCTGTTTTACAGTCAGCTCTGAGTGGAATTTGTCGGGCATATGATTAACCTTTCAAATTAGGCTATCAATCAGTTAGACTAGAACACAGACGCTTATGCTATGGAACACAAGTGTAACAACCAATTCATGACGATACTCGGATTGGAAGTCGTTCAGGACGATCGGGTGCCGCATCCTAAAATCAACGACTTTAGTTTTAGTACTGGGCAATTTGGGATGGAGGTTCCCATGGGCTTTTTAATTGAGTTTGAACAATCATTAACTTTGCATTTCATCAAATCACTTGTAAGTGCTGTCTTCAGATCACCTATTCGGACGTCTGAAGAAAAAAGCAAAAAAAAACAAATGAAAAAAGAGAATAGACGTGGTGGTGGTGTTGTTGACACAGTCATCCGATGATTGTAACCAACGATAATCCCGAGATTCCCAAACGACTTCCAACTTCATCTACATTACCAAGTTCCTTGGACAAAGTCATATTACCCTTCAGTCTGATCTTTCGCGGTCTTACAACTACTCCCTGTCTGGGTAAATGTCGCACACCGA